ATTGACACACTTAGACGTGATTCAGTCCTGGTCCATGCAGTCTAGTTTTCTGGTTTTGACACTGGCTAATACTATGCATTTCAGTGTAGAAAGAAAAGGTTAGTTGACAGGGAGTTGGGGAAAAAACTGGTCTGGTATCTCATTCCCTGTGTGTCAGACTGCAGCTCCCTGTGAAGCTGGAGAACTCGTATGTCTTACCTCTGCTGTAGCTTAGAGGTTTGTTGAGAATTAGACCACAGTGGACTGTGAGCTCCAGAGCAAGCTCAGTAAAGGGGCTTGAGAGGGACAGTGCATTGGGCCTTGTCAGAACAACCTGCCTAAGGTGAAGTTTCTTCTCAGCTCATGCTAACCAGTGGTTTAGTCACATTGTCTGCAGCAGGGAATTTATGCTATTAATTCATATATCATTCCATAATAATGATAATCTCACTGTCCTTATCCACATCTGTTCTTTAAAACTTGTTAATTTGGTCCAAACAGTTTGATAAATTCATACTGGAAGTAACAGCTAAGATGAGTGGCAATCTTTGATACAAGAGGAATTGTCCAGGAAAGACCTGCAAAGAGATCCCCTCTGCTCCCTTCCAGCTCCTCTGATGACTGTTTGTCTTGTCTTACCTTATGTGGCTCTCTCAGCACTGTTTTTTTCAGATTTCTCGTAATTGTATTGGGAAGAGCCTGTGGAAGGGCATCTCTCTGCATGTGTGGCTTAGCCTGTCCAGCCCCTACAGTGAACAAATGTCCCATAACCTGCATGATTCTGTCTCGGACTGCACACACAAAGGAGTCGTGCATTTTTGGTGCAGGTTCTCTGTATAGCTTTTCGGAGTGTTTATGGGTACCTCTCAGTGTCTTTTCCCAGAAGAAGCCACCAGAGAGTGAAGAGCCCAGTGGTGGTTTTGTGGACTTCAGTGGTGGCTGCTTCTTGCTCATGTGCTTTTCCCTTCTGCTCTCTGTTAGGTGCTCCTACGCTTTCCCGGCTTTTAGAAGCTGGTCCTGCACAGTTCACCTCACCTCTTGCTTCCTTCTCCGCTGTTGCCAGCGAACCTCCAGCTAAGCTCCTGCCACCCCCAGTAGAGCCTGTGTCCCAGGCTACCATTGTCATGATGCCCACGCTCTCAGCACCATCCGTTGTGCCACCAGCTGCGACTCCAGAAAGCGTAGCCACAGGTGCGTTCCTGAACTACGCACTCTTAGGTCATACACTGCTGGAAAACAGAAATTCCATGGGATAAGTGTCCAGCAGTCTCTCACCTGGCCTTTTATCACTTCAGACTCAACATCCTTACTGAAAGGACAGTTATGGCTGGGTCCTGGAGTAAATATATGGTTTTAAACAAGATTTGCTGGGTGGGGGTGGGGCTGCTAATGATGCATTGCTGGATTGGGGTTCAAGGGCTGAAATCTCACTTTACTGTAGGAAAGCAGACATGTCACCCATATTTATCTTTTATTTTTCTAAGTCATGCTGTTTTGGGTGGACCTGGGATACTTAAGGCTGGTGCTTGGTCTTATCCACTGCAGTATTTGTTTATGTGGGCTTGATTTCTCCTGTTTGGTCTCTGATTGTCACTCTCATCCTTGCGCAGTGAGCCAGCCAGAAGCCTGTGTTTCCATGGAGGCAGTGTCTGATTCCCATACCGTAACAGTGTCCATGGACAGCAGTGAAATATCCATGATCATTGATTCCATCAAGAAGGAGTGCTTGGGTTCTGGGGCTGGCGGCACTGCAGGGTCTTCCAAAGATCACTGCATGGATGGGAAAGAAGACCTGGATTTGGCTGAGAAGATGGATATTGCAGTGTCCTATACAGGGGAAGAGCTGGACTTCGATACTGTTGGGAATATTATAGCCATCATTGAGGACAAGGTAAACAGGCAAAGCAGAGTGCCAGTGCCTCTTACTCCACATACAGTTAGGTTAATATCAAGGGATTGCTGTTCACCAATTTAGTTGGTTTAAACAAGCAAGAAATAAGTATTCCAAAATGCACATTCCCACCATCGCTGTCCAGAACAGTAGGAAATGACCCTATGACACCGCTTCTGCTAGTCTGCCACGTTTAGCCTGGTGCTTCTCTTCAGTTGCAGAAAGAAATCTCTCACTTCCTCATGTTAGGTTGGGTTTGGGTCACAGATGAGCACTGCTTGCAGCATACTGTCCAGGAGTGCTGTATTTCTGAAACTGAATTTCCACGGGAGACTCCACAGGGAGTGATACGAGTCTGGCTGCAAAAGGGAACTTTGTAGACCCAGTACTCTGGGTTTTCCACAATTGTCTCGTTACCAAGTAACATGAACTTTTTTTCAGTCCCTCTTTCTGACCTTGGCGTACACTGCTGTGTGTTTGTTTTGGCAATAAAGGTAGACGACCACCCTGAAGTCCTGGATGCAGCAGTTGTTGAAGCTGCTCTGTCTTCTTTCTGTGAAGATACTGATGACCCTCAGACCCTGCCTGGCCCATGGGAACACTCAATTCATCAGGAGCACGAGAAACAGGCCCAGATACCCCAAGTGTCTGTGACTGTGAAGCAGGAGAGACTGGAGTGCGAGGAGCCAGAGGCAAAGGGAATTCGAGACCTAATGGGTATTGGCGAGCTGGGTTCAGAAATAAAGACAGAACCTGTAGAGCAGGAGCAGAACCAGCTGGGACCTGAAGAAACCATACCAGCAACTGCAAGAGTGACAGAAACACCAGAGCTTAGAAGTCAAGAGATAGAAGACGATCAAAGAGCGGCTGTAGCAGCAGGAGAGACTTCTGAAATTGAGATAGAATCAGCCAAGGGAGAAGATGCAGTGCACAATACGGTGAAGACAGAGGTATGTGAGCAGAGAGGCTGTCTGGAACTTGTGTGGGTAAAGAAAGGAGCAGTTGTGGCAGGTAGGAGAGAAGTTTAGAGGAAGGATGACTGCTGGGTTGAAGGTGACCCTTCAATGAGTGTGACTGACTGTTTTCTTGGGAGTCGTGCTGCTGATCTGTTCGATCTGCAGAGAAGCTCTCTGCTTTAGGCAGTACCTTTATGTATGCCCCCCGCCCATGTGCAGAATTGCTGTTGGGAAGGTGCTCAGTGAACTTCATTGCCTTGAGTTAGGCTAGGGTGAGTGAGATGTGCCCACACCTTCACTGAAGTAAGCTGACACAAACATCTAGATTTGTGCATTTCTCTTCCCTCCAGACCCCACCTGATGATGATTCATCCCCTCCACAAGTCCCAAATGTGAGTGAAGACTCCTCACAGGCTGATGTTCAGCACAAATTTGAGCTGTCAGGTAACTTAATTCAGCTAGGAAATCTTTTGCATACAACATTATTAGCTGGATAGTTGTCAGTGATCTGGTTCAGGTTTTTTTGGGGAGGAGGGAGAAAAGGTATGTGTAGGAACAGTGGTTATTACTGCAGGACAGTAGGCATTGATGCAGGAGGCTTTGTAGGAAAGACTGCTTTGGAAAGTCAACCTTTCTGCTTTGCTTTCTTTCACAGAGTCAATAAAGGAGGAGGCCCAAGCCCTGTTTAGGAGTCAGATGAAGGTAATTCTGGATTGGGTGTAGTCATCTTGGATTTATCAGTAACATCTCACTGCTGCTGCTTCCTGGCTCCCATTTGCTGAAAAGCAAAGCTTGCTTTCAGCTTTCTGCACTGAGAAGGGCAGTCTGCAGTTGGAGCTAAAGGGGAGATTGCTTCAGGTGCTATAAAGTTGTTTCTGTGTTTGTGGGGGGAGGTAGGGCAGGACAGAGTGACTAGGATGTTGCAAAAGTGCCTATACAGTTGTCAGCAGCTGTAGCAGAACAAATCACTTTGCTTGCTGAACCATGGTTGCTTTGGAGGCTCTGAGTTGCTGCTGCAGCCAGCTGTGCAAACTCATGAATTCTCTGTGTTTCAGGATGGGCAGGGTGAAGAGGATGATGAGGATGGTGCCAGTGAGGCTGCCAGTTTGGAGGAACCCAAAGAAGAGGATCAGGGTGAGGGATATCTATCAGAGATGGATAATGAACCCCCTGTGAGCGAGAGCGATGATGGCTTCAGTGTCCATAACGCACCTTTACAGTCTCACACGCTAGCCGACTCCATCCCCAGCAGCCCAGCCTCCTCACAGTTGTGAGTATCAGTGAAGCTCTCAGGCACTCAGGTGCACATCCCAGGCTATTTTGTGGAGGGAGCGTAGGATTCTCATTTCTGTTTTGCAACTGAGTGGATCCGAAGGGGGAATTTTTTGGTGGTTTGTCTGGTTCTCCTTGCTTACAAATGCAAGTGTGCAGACAGCGCCGTAGTACCAGATCCCATTTTTTTTCTTTCTGTCTTTGTCGTGCATTAGAGTAGGTACGTCAAAGGCGAAATAAACCATGAAGTTTCTGCTCCGAGGCAGTATGCAGACTCCTGAAGGAAGTCCTGTTCTTTTCTTCCCAGCTCAGTGTGCAGTGAGGACCAGGAAGCAATACAGGCCCAGAAGATCTGGAAGAAAGCCATCATGCTAGTTTGGAGAGCAGCAGCTAATCACAGGTGAGCTTGATGTCTTGAGACTAGCAGAAAGAAGTGACTAATCCCAGACAAGTCTCCACTCTCCCATCTCGGAGGCTTATCTGCCTTGGTATCGGGAGATGATGAATCATACTGTTACTGGTAGCAGACAAATAAACACGAGAGCGTGAAACAAATATTTTCCAGCAAGGATGGGACACTAATTGGACTCCTTCTCTTTGCAGGTACGCCAATGTCTTCCTCCAGCCTGTAACTGATGATATAGCACCAGGCTACCACAGTATTGTGCAGAGGTGAGTCTCATCAGTCTTCTGTCATTGGAACTCTGTGTGTCTGCATATTTGTGTAGGGATTTCTGGCAGGAACTATAGTTTTCAGACTGCAAGACTTGAAAAAAATGATGTTTTTCTGGCATGATTCAGTCAGAAACAGGTTTCCCCAAGAAAAAGATCATCTTCAGTAACAGATAGATGTCTTTACACAGCCCTGTCTTTGAATGAAGTACAATGACAGAACATTTTTTATCAGTACAGTGGTATGTGACTGATTTGCTTCTCCCAGTTTCTATCCAAGGATAGGATTTAATCTTTGAAATTCCAAAGACGTATCTTCTTTAATCAGCATTTTTTACTGTCCCAGATAGTGGACTCTTCTGGAAGTTACCAGAATCCCCTGCTAGGCCCCAAAATCTCCTAAATGGTTCAGTGGACGCAACTCTAGCTCCTTAGCGTCTCCTTCAGTGATGCCTGGAAAAGGCAAATACTTGTCCTGAAACATCTGTTGCACCCTTGTAACCATTCATGGTAACTGCTGGGCAGCTTGCGTCTTCTGACCTGAGGCCTTGGTGCTCAAGAACGCAGCCTGTGTGGAGGAGAATCTATTTGGCTAAATTAAAGAGATGGTGTAAGTCGATATGTTACAGACCCAGGGCTGTTCACAAAAGAGAGAGGAAAGATTTAAATAATTCTGTTGGTTTTTTGACTGCATTTATTTCATAGGCCAATGGATTTATCTACCATCAAAAAGAACATTGAGAATGGGCTGATACGAACCACAGCAGAGTTCCAGCGTGATATTATGCTGATGTTTCAGAATGCAGTGATGTACAACAGCTCTGACCACGATGTGTACCACATGGCTGTGGAGATGCAGCGAGATGTCCTGGAGCAGATCCAGGTAAAGTGCTGAGCTGAGGCCAGTGCAGGACAGAGCATCTGCCTTGGTCCATAGGTATGGGAAAGGCTTCTGCATGTAAGACCACAGTTTCACTCAGAGTGTCTTTGAATGAAGCAGTCCCATCTTTCCCTGCATCTCCCTTGTGCTAGCTCTGGTGTTTGCGGCAAACTAGATTGTGGGTAAGTTAAAACCAACGCAGCAAAATGTTTTTTATGTTCAGCCGAGACCAGTTTCAGATCTAATTTCCTTCAGGGAAATGCTTAGGCCAGCAAGAGTCAGGGTGTGGTTCAGGAACAGAAACAAACAACAAGAATGGTGAATGACAGAGGACGCGATTGCTGCTTTTGGTGGCTGTGCTGGTCTATGCTGGTATAAAGTGTAGATGAAACTGTGTCCGGTGAATGTATACCATTTAAAATTTCTTGTGAAGTAGAATGTCCCAACTGGCAGGGCTAACAGAGTTGGAACTGGGGTTTTGTACTTCCTCAGGACTTGTGGCTTTTGAGGTAAATAGGAGAACTTATACTGAGCAGCAGACAAGGAACTGAAACTGCCTCTGACCCAATCATTCCCAGCCTGTGGTTTGTGATAGTCAACTGTCATGCACTAACTGAGCTTGTTTTGCCTGAGAACCTTAACAGAGCGTGGTTTTCTTGCAGCAATTTCTGGCCACGCAACTGATCATGCAAACATCAGAGTCAGGGATCAGTGCAAAGAGCCTGCGTGGGCGAGACTCCACTCGCAAGCAAGATGCATCAGAGAAGGTGAGAATGCTGTGCCCTGTGGAAGGGCATTTGGTATCTTTTGAAGAACCCCAAGATACTGCATGAAGTTCCCATATCAAAGATAGGCAGAAATTTTTTTTAAGATTGCAATGGCTGCAGCATCTTCATGTGAACAAATTTTTGACGTGTCCAGTGATTAGATTTTTAGCCCTGGAGCTGTACATCATCCCAGAGGCAGGTCTCATCAGGTTTTTTTCTGTGATCCAAATAATTCTGTTTTCTGTTTTTAAACTGTTGGGAAATGAACAGAGTATTGGAAAAGGTGTGATATGGCAGGGAGGGGAAGGGGGGTCCTTCACTTCCTAGTCAGATTTTTAGAACCAGGAAATCGCTCCAGTCTGATTTGCTGTGTAAAACACACCAGAGAACCTCTGACTTCCATGCTGGTCTGAACTAATAGCAATATAGGTTTTGGGGGTTTTTTTCTTCTGTAAAGACACATCCAAACTTGATTAAGTGATCTCAGCTGGTGCTTATAGCATTGCGACAGCAAAGACTGCCTGCTTAGTTCTAGTGGCAACTGCACAGTGCAGAAATTGTTTGGTAGATCAGGCCTTGCTGTGGCTGAGGGGAGAATATCCCTTTCCTAGCACTCTGACTCTTGCAGTATCCCTCTTTTGTCTGTTTTTATGTTCTTGCTATATGATACTGATGCCATGTGGGAAGGGGAGTGGGGCACATGTTTCTCTATGCTCATGTGTGGGCTCAGTGCTTCTGTGTGGTGTGTGCATTTCCTTATCTGATAAGTCCTTCTGTTTGGCCTTTTAACAGGACAGTGTCCCAATGGGCTCTCCTGCCTTCCTTCTCTCTCTCTTTGTAAGTATTGAAAGGCTCCAGCAGGTACTGAGGTACTGCTGGCAGTGTGCTCTGCTCCTTTTCTGGGTGATCGCTATCACAGCATCCTTAGCATTGCAGCAGTGTGTTTAACTTAAGCCTGTACAACCATGATCATTAGAGAAGAAACATCTCAGTCCCTTACTGTCAGCGTGGGTGCCTGGGAGGGGCTTTAGTCTTTTCTTCTGGTTCCAAGCACTCTCGTTTTGTCATCTGCCTTTGCTTTTTTCCACAACTTCTCTCCTGCTCTCTTCCCATTTAAGTGGGCAGACAGACCAAGTGGTGCAGTACTGTAGTTCTTACTACTAGTTCTCTCGTGTTTATACAGCCTCCCCTTCCACACATTCAAGACAGTACCAAAGGTCTTGGGAGAGTGAGGAGTCAGCTGTGTACTCCTTTATCATTCATGGTCCAGAAAGGAAATAAGATACTCTGCAGAAATACCTTGCTCTGTGCCTGTGGTGATCTGGAAGTGGTTGGAAAAACAGTCCCTCCGGGAAACCCCAATTCTCTGAGTTGCGGGGAAGAGAGAAGATGGAGAGTTGTTTTTTTTCTCTCATATATCTAAAGACAGAGGAGTACTTCAGGAGAGTCAGCATGTCAGCCAGAGGGAGAGGGCAGCGGATCAAAGGAAGCTCTCAGCTCGCCTTCTGGTCATGGAAAGGAGCTGTGCGGAGAAACTAGGGAGCTAGTGCCAGGGTCAATCAACTGGAGGAGCACTTCCCGTAGGGATCAGCAGCTGATAAGGTAGGTTAGTCAGCAGTTTCCTCTTCCCATCTTAAGAGCCAAGCTAGAATCTGCCACTTAGATGAAAGCCTGTACTGCACAGGCTCCAAAAGCATCTGTCTGGGGAAAAGCCTTGTTGCTGCTCTCTCTGCCCTGGCTGCCAGCAGCATGCAGAGATGCTGCCAATCCCAGCACCTGTGAATTTTAGGTAGGTCTTCAGGCAGGCCTCCCCAGGCCTTCTTAGGACAGCCTCCCTCCCTCCTGTTTAGAAGGCATGAAAAGTTGTTGCCAAATGCAATTCCTTACCTCCCTGAGTGCTGGAGGAAGTGTTTTGTGTTTTGGGTTGCGTAACTCTCTTTTTTGCTTGCCTTGTGACCAGGATGGGGGCACCAGAGGGCGTCGCTGTGCCATCGAGGCAGACATGAAGATGAAGAAATGATGCTGCAGGCACACACAGAATCCCAGCACCTGACATCCAGAGCTGGAGTGTAAGCAAGATGCAGTTAACCGCTGTTGGAGGAGGAATTAACGCTGCAGGTCGCTTTCTGGGACCTGGTCCACCTTCTTCGCTTGCCCCTCTGGAAAGCAGTGTCTCGTCGGAATATGTAACCCAAAGAAACTTCCCTGGAGGGGAAGACTAGCCCCCCCTGCCTGTTTTAGGGCAGTCGTCTTGGGCTTCATCAGTGTTCTGGTGTTAGCTAGCAACTGGTGGCTCGTATGTACTGTAATGTGAAGTGTACAGATTTTTACTAGTGATGTGTAAATGTGTATGTATATTAAAGTCTGGGAACAAATCCAGTGTAAAGTGTGCAGTGTATTGGGCTTCACAGCTCTCTGCAGTGAGGAGCCCTGTTTTTGTCCATTACCTGTCTTGAATATCTGCAAATACACCTCTCTTCCAGGTATCCGTATAGCACCCAACCACAGCAGAGCTTTGACATTAAAGACAATCTGATAATCACAGGAATGTTGCATAGTGCTTGGATGGAGGGGAAGATTTCCCCTTTGAGTATGTGAGAATATGGCACTGCTGCAATGAAACAGATCTGACCATGAGCAGTTAAATACTTCAGTCTTGTTGAGCGTTCCTTAAGAGACCGATGTTTTGAAATGTACTTTACATTCTTTCCCCACAGAGTTGTAAAGCGTTAGAGTGAAAATCTGTGATTCCAGTATCTGTAGGCATGCTAGTACCTGGTTTCACATCTGAGCTTGTCAAGTGTTTCTCTCTACTGGAAATTATAGTTCTTTTCCTCAGCGACGTGGATATTTAACTGAGGTTTAAGTTCTCTGTGACAGTTTTCAAGTCACCTTCTTATTTTCTGCTCCTATGACCTGTGAGATGAAATTTAACATATTTTCTGCTCCCATGACCTTTCAGGGGAGAAAAAAACCCAATAAAGCATCCTTCTGATGCTTACAGCAGCTGAGAGTGGTCTATACTTTGTCCAGCATGTAAAGTGTGCAGCTTTCTGACATGAGTTTCAAGAAACTGAGTGACTCTGATTAAGACCAGAGGGATTGTTACCTTCATTTTCACAAGTTTTGCATTGAAGTTGGTTGTACCTGCTGTGTACACCTACGGCTGAGGTGTATTTTCACCAGGAGTCACTCCAGTCATGCTGGAAATGCAGAATCCTTTGGTTTGCTTACTGATTAATTGTCGTTCACTGCTGAAACTGGTAACAAATTTCTGATTTGAATTGTTAGCTCTTCAGTTTCCAGAGATTACAGGTTGTTAATTTCATAGCACAAAAAGTTACAGGGTTCTTTGGCTTTCTGGTATTTTATGGAATTTAAGTTGGGGACAAACGTTTTAGTAGGACCTGTTGCGATAGGATGTGGAGTAATGGTTTTGAACTAAAAGAGTGTAGATTCAGACTAGATATAAGGAAGAAATTTCTTATGATGAGAGTAACGAACAGTGAAACAGGTTGCCCAGGGAGGTGGTCAATGCTCCATCCCTCGAAACAGGGCTCTGAGCCATCTGATCTGGTTGAAGATGTTCCTGCTCACTGCAGGGAGGTGGACTAGATGACCCCTAAATGTCCCTTCCAACTCAAACCATTGTATGATTCTAAGCTGGAAAGGACCTCTGAGCATTCATCTAGTCCAACCTGCTGCTCAAAGCAGGGCCAGCTTCAAAGGTCTTGTCAAATTTTGAAAATCTCCAAGGATGGAGGTTCCCTTACACCTCTGAACAACTTGTTTCAGTGCTTACCCACCCTCATGGAGTAAACATTTACCTTATATCCAGTTTGAATTTCCTTTGGTGTGTTTTATTATAATCACTGCCTCCTTTCCTTTCGCACTGTTGGCCACTGAGAAGAGTCTGGCTCCATCTCCTCTGTAACACCTCTGCTCCATCTTTGTCCATGTTGAAAGATGGAAGTCGCAGCACATGGGAGAACCTTTATCGTGCCCACTAGTAATGTGCTTTCATTGTGGAAAGCAGTGCTGTTTGTTGCTACCCTTGGTTTCTTCTCTTAACCAGGTATTTTTCCCTCAAAGAGACTTTTCTCTTGTCCCATGACATTTTAATAGATTTTAATGATGTTAAAGACCTCTGAAAATCTAAAATACAATTTTCCCTGCAGACCCCATTGCCTCTTTCCCAATTCATCATCTTATGCTCTAATTCTGTTCTTCTTAATACTTTGTTTTAATCTGTCCAGTAGAGAGCTAAGGCTGCGTCTCCCAACATCCACTCCTTTTACAGACAGATACAACAATCACATCTTTCTGGTTTTCTTGTGCTGTGGCTAATTTAAATGACAGGTTACACAGCATGGGTTTGGTCATGTTATATTTAAGCCGCTTTAGCACTCAAGAGTGAATTCATATGGGTTCTAAGGTTTACTCCATCCCTCAAATTTAAAAAAAAAAATCCTAAAATCTCCCCATTGGCATTTTAATTAGAAACGGTCTCAGACCCATCCCAAGAGAGACTTTCCTGTGATCTCCTCTGTGACAACTGCTGATAATGATGATTAATTTGGTTTTTCCAACTGGCCCTATTTTCTGCTGAGATATTTGGCACTGATCATGCGTCATCCCCACTGATCATCTGGCAGCTCTCTGCTTCTGATGTTTTTTATGAGGATTGTTGTTATTTGCTTTTATGTCTTTAGCAAATTGTTCTTCATTTTTTTCCTTCTTTTTTTTTTGCCTACTTTTTGTGGATTCTAGATTTCGTTTATTAGAGTTCAGGCTTTTATCATTTTTCTTGTTTTGACATGTAAGTTCCATTTAAAGGCCGTCTTTTTTATTTCTTAACAGCTTGTTCCCATATTGGCGAGGGTTTCGCAGTGTCTGATCTCTGCAAAGCGAACTAAAAGTTTCCAATATGATAATGATTCCTTGCCAGTGATCAATGTAGCCAACATAATTAAGAACTGTCAGGCAGTTCTTAATTAAAAGTTGAAGTCTGGATTTTTTGTCCCCTATTTTTTGTACAGAATTGGTATGGAACTAAGCAGTCTGTAATTATTTCACTCATCCCGCTTGTCTTGCGTTAATGGTGCTGTTCCAGTCTCTGGCGTCTTGAGACCTAAGATGTAGTAAAACTGAACATAAGGCTAAAGATCTTTTTAATCAGTGCTTATGCCCAAGTTCCCTGGGCTTCCTGATTTTACAATGCTTATCCCTCTCACTAGAGTACAGAAGGATGATCGCAGGTGATTGGATTACCCTAGGCTAAGGCTTTTCTGTTCAGCTGAGCTGCAGTGGCTGGTTCTGCATGTGCAGCCAGCTCTGCTGATGGGGCAGGAAAGCGCTTTAGGCATGGGGTTACTCTTCAGATTAAATCAGTTTGCCCAACTCCTTTAGCTGGAAGCTGAGAGCAGGTGATGTTATCTCTTACCTCATCAAACTTTATCTGCTTCCACTGAAGTTAACTTTGAGAGAGGTTCAGAAGAACAGCTTTTCGGATCCTAGCTCTGCTTCTAAGTTCATAAAGTAAGCAAACAAGTTTTCTCATCCCAGACCCAGTGGATTCCTTATTTCTCCCAGGTACACACCATAACTTGTATTTGTAGCTGTCCTAGCACTCCTGAGAATGCAAAAGGAAATCAGTGAGAAATGTGGTTGTTCAAAACTCTGGAAAAAATAGGCTGTACATAATTAACTGAAAACTCTAAAGACACTGCTAATTAATGCATAGAATTCTCCATAGGTACAGCATCCAGGTAGCTGAGTTCAGTGGTAAGAGAGATTTTTCTAACAGCCTTTACTGTTGTTACTGTAGCTCTGGAAGCAATTCCCCAGACTTAGAGAAATCATAGTGGGCTTGTGCAGTAGAAGGCACTTAGGCATGGACTGATGAACAGAGAAGAAATGAATGGTTTCTTCCTTCTTTGAAGAATGCAAACTTTTACTTTGTAAAATGTGTAGAACTGTCCCCTGTCTGTGACTGCGTGGTTGTAATTCTTCTGGCTCAGGTACGCAAGACATCACCATCCAGCTAAATCACATCTGTTGCTTTTGAAATAAAGTGGCTGTAGGGTTTGTGATAAGTTATTTCCAGTATAAAAAGTTCTCAAGGGGCAGCAAACAGAATTTCAGTGAGTTGTCCTTGGAGCCACGAGTTGTTCACATGCTCAGGAGCCCCAGCGTGCCTTGGTTTGAGCTTGCTGCTGGATGCCTTCGGCACTTTAAACATGTAGCATACAGCAAAGGCACATGCTCCTATTCAGCTTAGCATCCCCTGAGCACAGTAACCCACTGACCCCTGGGCAGGGGGAGAGCACAGCAAAAACCTGAAATTCAGTTGTTCTGTGTTATAAAGCTACAGCCCTGCCATGTGCTGTGAAGCGTGGGCTCAGCTGTAGGCTGCTCCCCTCGCAGAGCCCTTCCCATGCTTTGTCTCTCTCAGTATGTCAGGAAATGAGCTGAGCTTTGCAGTTCTGGATCAGGGTACAAAGAAATTGCTCTATCTCTCTTTATGTTTGTTTGCAGATGGGCCATGCCTGGGTGTGGTGGGAGTCTGAGCCGGAGTCTCCCAGCGAGTCAGAGAAAAACAGTGACTTCCAGTCTCTCCTCAGCTGCCATTCAAGCTTGGATCTGGACATGGGGAGCTGGAGGAATACTGAAGAAGTGGCCATGGGGGAGCTAGAGGAAAGCAGCCAAGAGGCAGACCATGAGATAGAGTTCAGTGAGGCGCTCTGGAAAGATGATAGTGAAGACTACCAGAAGGCAGAGAGACCACGTGAAGATGACAGTCTTCTCCAGTTCTTCACAGAGGTGGGCTGTTTGGATGACAGGAAAGTGGGAGGCATAGTTCAGGCCCTCCTGAAACATTAGGGTTTTCAGGGTCTCCACCATCCCTACACACAGAAACCGTCTGGGGGAGGAGCAGATGCCCTGAGTTCCCTTGCTCCTTGTCCCAAGCATAGCCCTTCCTTCCATTTAAAGCTGGCACTGCAACCAGGCAGCTGCTTTGCCAAAACACAGCTCACCCTGAAGCACAGAGATGTCAGTGAACTGACACTGTAATAACACAGGGCTTCATCACAAGATTTTGCAAGGATTCCTAAAAATGGAAAGGCGTTCGTGAGTGAAAGTAAAAATAGCATCTGTGCTGCTTATTTCTTCTTCCTTTTGCCTTCACAATTTGAAACAATAAATCTCTGTGTTGCAGATAACCCAGATGATGGAACCTCTCTGCATTAGCAGCACAGAGTCATCACAGACTGAGTGGGATTATTGTGGCTCTGGCAAGCAGGATAATGGGGAAGATGTGAAGTGCCAGGAAGAGATCACAGGGACAGCAGTCCCGGGAGCAGAGGAA